AGAAAAGTATATTACCTATACTATATTCATAATTTGTTTATTGTATATATGTGAAATTCACTATAAAACCTTGATTAAGTTATAATAGTTATAATAGCAACTAGTATTTACAGTTATTGTTGTTGTTATTGTTGCTATAATCAGAGCTATACAACCGTATTTGGGATGTTGAAACTTTAACTGTTGTAAGATTGGCAGTTTATCATCGTAAACTAGTTACTTTAGGATGTAGAGTTGCGTGTTCCTGGAACTAATATTTACCATTTGGACTATTTGTACGGCTTATTTAATTTTAATATACCATATATAAGACACATAAATCCTGGTTCTCTAATTTTATATATTTATTCTAGAACTGTTTGAACATGATTCGTTATCCAAAGTCTAATTAAACCCACAACACATTAATAAGCCCCTGGTATTAAGATTATTAAAGAGTAGCGACTGTGATTATCTATTAAAATATCGTTCCTAATTTTTTTGTTAAATTATTTTAATCAACGAAATTTTAGTTTTATTGTAAATACATGTAACGAAAACATTTAGTGTCTTAAGTATCATGAAATCAGTTGCTCATAATGAAAACATTTTCATATTTAATAGTGAAGAGAAGACTTTAAATGTTTGTCTGTCAGTCTTTGCGGTTGTTATAGTTTCTCACTCGTAAACTTTATTTAAAAAAACACTGCACGACCTCGCCACAGGACTTTTTTACACAATTAAAGATTTTTATCAGCTTTAATATAGTTTTTATTAAATGGTTTCGGTACACTTTATGTTTGAGTCTATTTAGTGCACTATACTTTTCTTCACATATATCAAAAAATGCTTTAAGTACTTGAATCGGAATTTAAATTGGGATAAGCTTGAAAAATCTAAAAATTATAAATCACGAGATATAGTGGTTCACCTTTAAACACAATATACCATAATTTATGAGTTTTGCTCTTTAATATTATTTGAGAACAGTAATTGAAATATTTCTGTAAGAAATTAATAAAAGTAATCTAATTTCCACACAATATACCTACTTTATACAAACGGACTTACCTATAGACGTGTAAACGATTCAATGAAATAAAAATTAAAAATAACTCTCCTAATATTGAATGAAGTTAATTTTGACTTAATTTTTTACCAATTACTCAGTAAAGACTTTAACTTCACTTTACCAGCAGTCAGTGCTCAATTTAGACAAAATATGTACGTAAGATTTAACAACAGTCATTGTACGTATGCAATTAAAAGATCTTATTTCAGATTTTTAGCACTGAAGTAAATTGAGTAATCTTGAAATAAGAAACTTGATTAGTCTATAGCTTAGGATTTGTTTTATTTTGTTTAAGAAATAATTCCAAAACCACTGATGTTAGGTATTTGGTAATACTCGAAACAGCTGTGTGGTCAGCTTAAAATTAAATTAATTAAAATAAAAAGAATTTTTGTTGTTCTCTTTCGAAACTCTACTCTCTATAGTAAAATAGTTACCACCGTCATAAGTGACGTTAATTTACGATATATAAATATTTATAAAATAATATGTAACAGTATCTATAATATATGGTATATATTGCTTACTCACAGTTGGATTAAATGTATTATCATTACTGTTGCAATGACTGGCTGTAGCGGATTATGGTTGTTATTTTGATAGCGAACTATTTAGCATAATGTTTAGTGGGGGTTTACATTTTTTGATACATTTTTTTATGCAAATCAATTGAATTTTACTAGTTAGCAAATTAACTTTTACTTAATTTGTTTCGCCACTGTCAAGCGATTAGATGATATCTTAATGTTTGTATTTGCCTTGTGATTAATTTGTACAGTATATGTTAGTTAGTATTTAACAAGTTTAATTTTTATTAAATATGCATTTTTATGTTGTTGATGGGATGGGATGGGATTGCACCTGCAACTAATGCCGTCAATTGCTGCTCCTTCTTCCGTATCAAACTAATTTTGTTCAATTTGTTGTCGGAACAAAAGGCACTGAGTCAGTTCTGGCGTTTTTCTCAAAGATTTCCTTACGCATTAACTAATGTGTTGTATATATTCCAAGTAGTGCAAGAAAGTGCTAAACTAATTTCAATTTAGCGCAGCTATAAATTTAAGCAACTAGATAAGATATTAAATGTTGTTGGTGTTGTTTTTTTTTATTAAAATGCGATCTTTTACGTTGCTGAAGCTGTTAAATCGTATAATTTGTGCATTCATTTTCTTGTGTATAATTAAAATTGTAAATTGTTTAATGGATAGTTTTTTAATTGAAATATGTAATTATTTTAGTTTTAATGAATTGAAATTGCAATCAAATTTCAATTCAGTTTAAATTGATTTGACATAAGAAAAAGTAGTGCGCCTAGTAGAGCCTGCACCTGCACCTGGGCCTACCAACCTGACTGTTTACTCACATCTTAATTTATTTTGAATTTTGTGGCTTAATAGTTTCATATGACGAATTGATTTCTACTGATAAGCGTTTGGCATCTTTTTTAATTAGAATTTGAAAAATTTATCTGAATTTAAAAATATTATACAACAAAACTAAAATAAAAATATTAAAATTTATTTTAACGTAGTTTATTTTTAATGGAATAAAACATTTTCCCAACGGTTTAACACAAAATATTTATGAATTAATTAAATGTTACATTAATTTTAATAGATTTACAATAAAACTGTTCATTCAATACAACCAACTACATATTTATTAAATTTATATACTATGTATATATGTATGAGCTATAAGAAATAAGATATTTTACAATTCTTTAATAGTTTCTTTAACATTTAATTTGTTTGATTAAAAATATTGAATTACGTTATGAAATAAAATACGTAGAAAGTCTAATAAAAATTAGACACCATTAGACACCATGAAAGAGACAATGGTACAGCTCGACCTTGGACATCTATCGTATTATACCTCTGGAAAGTGCCTCTAGTAAACCTGAAAAAATTAGGATTCTTGGTAAATCCAACAATTACCTTTTAGGTAAAGGTATTGGGCCTGTTTTCTGACAGTCTTAGATTCGTTCAAGTAGTATGGGCAGATATATCAATCAGTATATGTCAGTGTTCTTTAATTTAAATTTGGAAAATAATGGTTAACATAGTGGTTATGTACAGACAAAAAGTTATGAAGCCAGTGATTAATTATGTAGCATATAATTTTCTAATAATTTTAATCTGTATTGTCAAATTTTCAAGACCCTCACCGTCATTAGTACACACTACCGATATTAATAAAAAATATATGACATATTCTCTTCTAAAAAATAGTTTATTAGTTTTGATTTAAAAAGAAGTTATCTGTCTAAAATGGACATATAATAGATATAAACTTTTAAGGCGAATCTGGGAATATATTTTCGCATTAGAACGAACATTTTTTGAACGTTTTCTATTAGTAAGTTTCGGGTCACACTTTGGTGCCAAGTAGACAATTTTTAATAAAAATTAGAACAAAAATTCAAGTTAAAAGCTAATGCAAAGTTAAATCATTTTTTAAACGTACGGGTTTATAAAGATTATGAATATTATTATGATTAAGATAATATGAATATTCATAACACGATTAAAATTAAGATCTCGGTTGAGAGATTTTGATATATCTTCTGTTTAGTAGACTCATCATTGATATCGAAAAAGATTGTGGAAGGCATCTGCGATTAATAATAAATAAGTTCTTAATTTTTATTGAAAATTGAAGTGAAAACAACTTTTATGGCCTTATTCATAAAAAGTTATAGTAGGTTTGTAATACATTTTATTAAAAATGTTGTTCATAAATGCTATTTAACAGTGTTATAAATTTGTGGTGATCAAAATGTCAATAAAGGATTCCAAATATGCAAACAATTTAATTTTATTCTTTTAATATTTATTGAATCATTGTAGAAGTACACATTTTAACATAAATTTATATAAGGAATAATAATGCACTAAGATACGATTAAGTTTATACGATTTGCAAGTTGTTTGTCGTTAATCTTGCCGAATTATTTTAGTCTGCACAGTCCATTTCAATTCAATTTTATTTTAAAAATTTAATAAATTCGTGTGCTGTGTGATTCTTGTCATAGTCTTGTTGAAAATAACCATCACTCACATCGATACTATTCAGTTCGTTATAATATTCGATACTAGAAGTCAGTTATTATAGTTTATAAAGATTTGAATCGACGGTTGTCTATTTTGATTGTCCAGACTCATATCATATATTGTTACTTAATATTAGTAATCTTAAAAAGTTGTCGGGTACATTAAATTTTTTGTACTACCTATATCAATAACGTTTATTTGGACTAAAAAATTCAACTATCGACAGCATTTTGGAACAAAATCGAACGAGTGAAACTCGTTCAAATTCTGATTGAAATCTGATTACTGCAGTGGATTTTAGTGAAGAAGACAGTCATGTAATAACAAAACATATTATAAAATCGGTTTTAGCTATTTTTTTAATATGTAATATGCTGTTGTTGTAGTTGTTGTAACCCGCCGGGACCTGGTCGTGGAGTCCTTTTGGGAGGTGTTGAACGGTACTTGGTCGTCGTAGGTGACGAGTGGGTCCGGGACGTAGACCCGACACTGTTGTTCAGTGGTCTCTCCTAATGAAATAGACTTTACCTTTCGTAATTCGGTACGCTTAAGAACTTAAGCGTGAACTTAATGATTTACAGTTATTTGGAACATACTAGGCTATAAAATTAAAATGTATTTACATATATTTAGGTATAAATCTCACTACAAAAGATATATGGATAAAATTTAATAAATATTTGTTATAAATAGACACATTTTACTATTACACAAAAAGTTGTAATGCATAAAATTCATTAATTCTAATATTCTTATTCCTAATAAAAACATATTTGCAACATAATACATACATTTTTTAATTTCAATAAAATAAGTTATAAATTAATTTAATTTTTTCATTTTTTTATGAAAAAAAAATACAGTTTCTTACAAATAAAAATATATAAGTTGAGAAGAGAATTAATACAATACAATATAAATTGTATTCACATATATGATTTTTGGATATTGCATTGTTAGTGCAGCTAAACAATTTTCCAATAAAAATCATTGTCCTATACAAGTTTAGAACAGTGCGTCTACCTCAAAAATCTCAATATCTTGTAAATATTCCACTAATTATCCTGAAAAATTGTGCTACTACTGCCGCTGCCACTGCTGCCAACGCTCATTGATATTGTTACCGAGCTATGTGTGCTTCGTTCTGAGTGTGCTGGACTCATAACAGGACTGCGGTTTAATGGTGTTGCTGCTGGACTGTGTCCCAAAGGTACTACCAATGGTAGAATGGGTTTACGTGTGCGTGGCGCGCCACGTATTCCAATATGTACTGGGCCGGCAGTTTTTAATCGTGGTCTGCCGGGTCCTCGTTTCATAGGCGTTGGTGTGGTGGGTGTGAAGCAGCTGTCAGACTTCGCAGAATTATTCAATGTCAATGTTTGCGTATCTGCAATGATTAAAATGAACAATTTTTAAGTGATTTATATAAATTCTGTAAACCAATGAAAAAGCACGATTATACGTTTAACGCATTAAAATTTCCTTTATTTTATTATTAAACTGCATTAAAAAATGCGGGTTATGTCACGTGACTACGTGTAAGAGATTCACTTCCGCTCGAAGTTAATGCATGTACGGTTTCTCTTTGTATTCACTCAACACTCCCTCCCTCCCGCTCTTTTATGCTAACGAGCACTTAAGCGCCAATTGTGGCTTACAAATGACGCGACGTGGTCGCGTTCCCAGTTGCACTTTTGCTAACCTACGAGTATTAGCCGTAATTTATGCACAGATTCGTATTTATCGAATTCATTCTATAGGATTATGTATCTTTTTTGCATTGTCCGTCTTTGTATGTGACATAAAAATGTGCAAATACAATTCGTTCGGCAGATTTATTCGTAAGCTGATTTATGCAATTATCGCTCATGTTCAGAGAGATTTTCTTGATTCTGTACTGCTTGGTCAATTGAAAGATAATGTTAAAGTTTTCAGAACCATTCAATTCCATATATATATATCTATATATCATCAAATAAATGATAATTACTTAGGGGACATAACTGATAATTATATTTAGTATCTTACAACGCTAGACATTTTATTTTTATTTAAGCCATTATTTAAAAAACAGATATATATATATATAATAATTAATCAATACCACCGCCAATTGCGTTCTGAATTGTGTAGTTTCAATAGAAGAACCTACATATTTAAGAATCTAATCTTCTAAGTAATATTATTTTTATACTCATTTTCAAGCAGTGTTAATATTGGTGGAATTTTTTAAGAATCGAGAAATATAGATATAAGTATTTTTTCTATGTAGCATTATTTTTTCCTTTAGCATTTTTATTCATTTTTTTTTTTGTTTTTCTCTAAGAAAGTAATCTCATATTCTTAATTTTCTTTCTTCCTGTGATATTTGAATAACATATAAGGGTCGTATGGTCTGAGATGGTTACTCATGTGACTGTTTCAACTGCATCATTTGGGGGAAGATAAAGTATTTAAGATTTCAATCTAAGGGCAAATATTTGCTTTGACTTCTGCTGATAAAGCAAACCAAAGTGGTAAATTATAACATTAAAAAATGGGGGAAGGCAAAAAAAAACCGAATTCAAGAAAAATAAATAAATTTATGTCACGTTCTTAAGTGGTTTCAATGCTTTATTCAAAGTAGCCACTGTGTGGAATATTTTCTGCTATTCAACTTATATAGAAAGAATATATGAAAAGATTGTATGTCATTATTACATTCTACAGGAAATCAATTATAGAGTATCCTAAATTGCTTGTAATTAGACACTTGCTCATTTGTATTTCTGAAGAAGCACTCTTGGATTAGCCGTATGCTAAATTGCTACTTTGATATGCTCGAAGTAGATAATTTGAAGTAAATAAGACTTTAACGTACCATCGTTTGTTATATTTAGTGCCGGTGTGCCTGTTGTACATTCACCATTTGGCTTTGAGGTCTCTATTGAACCGCTAGTCGGTGTCGACATTGAACGTGGTAAAGAGCCATTACCACCACCGCGTCTACTGCTACCACGTGGCCGACCACGTTTTGTACCACGTGGATGATGTCGGCGTCGTATACGTCCAATGCCGCCATAGTCACCCAAAAATGCTGCAACAGAAAATAAAAAAAAACCGTTTATTAAAAAACACATAAAAATAGCTTCAATGTAAAATATCTAAAACTAATAATTAAATAAATTCAGCATGAACATTTCTTGATTAATATCCTTTTCGGCAATTATTTAGTTTTTTGAAAGTCCTACTATATTTAAATGAACTATTTAAAAACAAAAAAAAACAAACACTGACCTGAGTGAAACCATTTTATTGTATTGTATATTTATATGTATATAATTTAATAATTTTTTAAGTTTACGCCTTATGTTTGATTAGGAAAAGCAAAGAGCATATTTATATACAAAGTAAATGGAAAATGTAACGAAAATAAATTCAATTTTAAATTGAAATGGAAAAATTAAAAATAATGGGTTCATAATGGAAATATTAATTGAACGCATTTTCCGTTAAGTTTCCCAACTTAATGCCACGGCAAAGTGTGTCATGCCCATTTTTGGCTATTGTCTCGATGCATACCTCGGTATATAGGAATTTCAACTGTAACATTTTACACACTTTGATGACTTGTGCTATTCATTATATGCATTAGAAATGCTGCAATGTACCAGTAACATGCGCACAAAATGCTGTCAAATGTTGCGCATATTTTATATTTTTCAATGCCAAATGTGGCAAATCCAAGCCAGCGGTGTTTGTTATTCCAAATCATTTTTCCATGAAACAATGTGGTCTCGTCACTGCCTTGGAGCGCCATTGCTTCTTCACTCCACAGTTCAATACGAAAGCTGCGAGCTCCTAATTCCGTTTGTTATAACTTACGAGTGCAAGCTTATATATGTTACATCGACTCGTACATATAATAATGTGTATTATAGTACACATGTATATTATTCGTTTGATTTTCCCTATTTTTACTAAACTGTAGCCATAACTGTGAATTGCATAAATAAAACGGCGCTTCTTAACATGCGGCACATGTGCAACATCGTCAATACGTATCTGCAACAAGATTTGTTGCAGATACCAGCTCACATCAGATGCAACTCAATTCAAGCCATTTTCATATATTTACAGTTTTTATTTTTATAATTCGTAAAAAACAAATAACAAATAACAAAAAATAAAATTAAAATTAATTAAATATAAGTAAAACTTTGTGTTTTCTACCTTGTCATAAAGATTTTCCTTTAGATAAATGCAGCTCATGCGTTTTTAATAAAATTTATTATTGTGTTTCGTGTAGCTTTGTTTACACGTCAGTTTGCGTTGTTGCAACAAACCTAAATTTACATTGTTTTTACAAAGTCATAAATATTTAAAAAGTATAAAAATTCATAAATTCTCAAATAAAATAGCTTTTCCCATAAGTAAGTGCATAATTTTTATACAAATATTAAATAAATCTCTTAATAGGTTTGATGCGTACCACTTCCAAAAGTATCCATTGTATTAAAATGTTTTCTTATTAAATTCTACTCACTTAGATTTATGGATATTTTTAATTTTTAATTTTAATTTCAATTTTAATTTTATATAATATGAAAATATAAATACTAAATTATAAATATTTAGTACCAATGATTCAACGCACCAATGATTATTCATCAAATATGTGTGTTACTCATATCTAAAAAATATGAGATATGAGATATGAAAATAATAATTAATATAGCATATGATATATTAATATAGCATCTAAATAGTTATGTTTATCAATTCACTTTTTAATAGTACATTGTATTTAAACTGTTCCGTTTCTAGATTTTTCTCCGTGTATGCCCAGCTCGAACTTCTTTTGAAGATTTGTTTTGCAATGCCATTGCTATATGACTTCGCACATTTCGTACTAGGCACGTACATAGAAATTTTCTTATGGAGGTGCAAGAGCAAACTAATAGTAAGTTTCCACTGGCTTTGAAGATTGAAGAAATTTAAGCAATCTCAAGTAAGTTAACTAGTCTAACGAAGCCAGTGGAAACGTACTATAAGCTATCGAATATCGAAGCAATGCTCGTCCATAAGCAACAAGGAAATAACACAAACAATTTCTGTTGAATTTAATATCCAAGCAATAAACAATTTTTGTGCATAAAGCTGTTATTAAAAATATTGTTTTTAATCTTCACTTTGGTCATATGTTTTAATCACAGTTGTTTTTCTTGCATAAAAGCGATTATTAACCTTAATTTCATTGCAAAATAGCAAAGGAGTATGTACACTGCTTTAAAGAGAAAGTATATTTCATTATGTTAGCAAATACGTTTTAATTCCAAATGTTTTCAGAGTGTTAAAAATTCTGGAAGTATGTAAGTATTTGTTGTGCACGTGCATTATGGAGGTTTTTAAACCATCACTCAATAAGTTGACAGAAATTATAAAAAAAAAATAACTTTAAAGTCAAATTCAACTTTATTCAACAATACACTATCTATACTACAATACAAAAGTGATATATTCATTCAAACACTTCTCTAACATCTTGATGCAATTTTTGACTTCAAAATTGGCTTTAGTTTGGATAATCATTGAAGTAAAATCCGTTTCCATGGAGTATTTTCATGAATTTTACAGATAACAGATGAAAACCTGGTGAAATGAAAACCTGATCTAGAGAATAGAGCGTAATCCGTACAATTTTAGCCATTGTCACATAATGCGTTAAAAATTTGAAGATGCTTAAGGCATGGCTTTGAGTTATCAACACATTGGTGCTGTTTTAAAAACATCGTTTGCATTAGATGTAGACGCAAACTAGTACTAATACTTCGTTCTAATAGTTTAAAGGACAATTTGGGCGTCTAGGGCATTTACAATTATCCTTGCTTGCATGATCATGTTGAAACTCAGCTGACCACTAACAAATATTAGATATCTATAAAGGAGTCTTCATAACACTATTCAAGGTATTTGCTGGATTTGGACATAGATTTCTTACCATTAAAAATCAACTGTCCTACTTTTTCACTGAAGTATAAAGTATAAATTTATTTATATTTATGTGTTATATTTATATATGTTTAGATAATTTTAACGTATGATTATTATTTTTTCGTTCCAAAGGGCATTTTAGAAATTTCAATTTCTGTTGATATGTCAGAGCTTTCATTACTCAATTCTTGTTGGATACTGATTTATCTCAAATTTACCATTTGTTATTAATCATATAATTTAATTGAGAATTTTGTATACACAAATTATGTACCTTATTAGGTAAAATATCGCAGAAATACATTTTAAATTAAATATTATTTGTTTTTAGGCCGAATTTGGTTTTAAGGAAAATGACCTCTTTTTAGAGTTGAAAGCATATTCAGAGCATTATGCCTGATGCCTGTATCGTGTAAAAACTTCTTAAGTCGCTAAAGCACTATTCACGTGAAATCTTTTCAATAAATGTCTTTTTTTCTATTAGCAATTCTGTCACAATTCGAAATGTTTTTCCTGCTCATAATATTTAATGGAGACTATAATTTATATACACTCGGCAAAAAATGTTAAGAGAATTACTTATTTTGAAAAGAAATGTGACTGAGTTGAGCTATTTGACTTAATAACACATTTCTTATGTTGAGCTTTTTCCGAGTTAGTGCAACTGGGCACTTTTACTCTTTCTTAGCTGGGGTGTTTCTACAGAGTCTCTGCCTCTATTTATTTATGTGTTCCTCACAAGCTTCACTGAATATTCGCTGACTGATCTAAGATCTGTATTAGATAGTGCTATGTAGGTCAGCGTGTCAGTTTTCGCGTACAGCTTCAGGACTCTGCCCCTTATGCGTTTTTTGACCGGGTCTATTCTGAGGTCTCTTAGCATGTCATTCGTGTGGATGTACCATGGCACTTCGAAGAGTCTTCAGAAAGTGAGTTATTCGATAACCCACATATTACATTAACGGCTACTCTACTGAGATGATCTAATAAGAAAGATGAAGTAGAAGTTAGTACGTTCTACTTAATTATTACTTCCTTGAGAGGAAAAAAGTAAAACGTTTCGAAACCTAAAATGCAAATTTTGAAAATTTTAAATAGTTATTTTTTAAAGGTAAAATTCAAGTTGCTTTTGTTGTAATTGTAATTACTTCGAGAACAGTGGTATCAAGCATGAAGAGATTAGAGTAGGACGTACATTTTAAAAAGAATAACTTAAAATTTCAATTAATCACCCATAGAAACATTTGGCAGATATATTTTAAAAAGCAATAAAAAATAATACATATGAAAGCATAAAAATAAATTTAACCAAGTTTTGTTTTTTCAGTTTTATTTTATTTTATTCCAATTTATTGCATTTTATTTCATTTAAACAATTTTATGTATTTCGGTCAAAAGCCTTGTTAGATTTTAAGACTTGTTGTTCTTGTAAAATTTAAATAATTAAATACAAGAATTATTTCCAAGACCACTGATGATGGGTATTTGCCAATACTCGAAACAGCTGTATGGTCAGCCAAAAATTCAATTAATTAAAATAAAATAAAAAATTTTTGTTGTTGTAGTTCACTACTGTTCGAAAAAACCTCTTTACAAATTATGTAGTTAATTTACGATTTTAATTTTATTAACATTATTAAAATGATAGTTCTAGACCTATGGGTCTATAGTCTTTATTAAACCATAATAAGTAGTTCATTTAAGGGGTAATGATCTATACCACGATGATATTTTATCATTTCTCACCACATCAAAGACCTAATTTATAATTAAAAACGAGTGATTACTAGATTTATTTAGTGTAAAATGGAGTCAATTTCTTTGTCAATCAAAGTAATTATTACGAACATTTTTTTCTGAGTGTAACTTTGTTGCCAATTCACGCTTTGGAATTGAAATACAGAAAGCAAATAAATGTATGAAAATCATCAAAATGGAAAAGGAATATTTCATTTGTTGGACGAGTATTTGTAAAACTTGTGCTACTAACTTCGATTTTAGCATTTTTAGTTGGCAAAATTTTACATTTCGGATTTGGTATCTGTTTTAGTTTTATAAAATTTCCGTAGTTTCGCTGTTGTCATAAGTTTTATCAATAAATGTCATTCTACCTTTTCGTCTTGCATTTGTACAGAATTCTTAACCTTTTCAGTTTTATTTTATTTTATTCCAATTTATTGCATTTTATTTCATTTAAACAATTTTATGTATTTCGGTCAAAAGCCTTGTTAGATTTTAAGACTTGTTGTTCTTGTAAAATTTAAATTGCAAAATAAATAAATTTGTGCTTGAATCAAAAAGGACCTCAACAAAATATCGAATCCATTGGCAGCGAAGTTGATTCGAAAAATTGCTGCTTAACACGAAAGTTTGCAGTGCACTTCTATGAACACTTCTCTCTCCATTGCATGAAGTGGTCCAAATTTGCACTGACAAAAACCTACTGAACTAGTAAAAATGGACGAAAAACATACAATACACAGAAATACTTTTGGATTGGTGCACGATTAGCTTCAAAGCGACAATTTATATTTATACTGCTTAACTAAAGCAGTTTTAGATAAACATTCTATATTGCATCGTAAAACCCCTGTATTGTTTTAATAAAATGGACAATGTCGGTAATTATGTGCATTAAAGCGATGTAGGAGAGATACGTAAGGGAAGTGCGAACCTATAGTGTCGTATATAATCGCCTCTTATTTTTGTAGATTTTTGTAAAATATTTTTAAGGTAAAAAAATCAAAACAATATATCTTAAAATAAATGGGGTTTAATATGAGCAGTGGATTAGAGATTGAGTTCAAAATAATGCCTATCTCAGAAAGATAATAATAAGCAAAAGTACAACAGATGACGTAGAGACTAAAAATATAAAATTATCAGAGGCGAGGCGTCGAATTGTTCAGAGTGTTCACTGAACACCTTAACAAAGCTTCCTTTTTTGATATTTTTTTTTTATGTAAATAAATACCGCTATTTTGCTACTTAACATTTTTTATAATAGCTTTTCCAAACATATTAAAATAAACACAAAACGTATAATACAAATAAAACCGCACATACATATGTTAGTTACATTCAACATTACTTATAATTAATAAAAGAGAAAATACATGTCTCTTAAAATATACTAAGGTTCAGAATAAAAACTGCACCGCGCTGCTTACAAAGCATGCAAATGAAATAACATTCACATTGGGATTATGTTCAATATTGAATAAACACAAAACATACAAACAAATATAAAAATAAAAGAGAAAACAAGCCCCGCAAAATATGTACGTAAAATAATCATAACTCTTTAATTAATGCGTGCAAGCGGTTCAATAAAAAAGTGAACTTCCAATGTTATGCAAAGTAAATACAAAAGAGAAAAGAAATGATTGAGCGAAAATCGCTTTACATTTGACGAGAGGTTCAATCGACTAAATTGAGCCGCAAGTTCATACAAAACGTGCAAATACAATCAAAGTCACGGTTGCCGTTTTATATGGGCAAATGGTTCAATAAAAAA